TCATATTATTTTCTGTCCTCTTACATCTTGACTTGAAAGCCAAGTTTTGTGAGGTCGTTGTTTATTTTTTTTCAGTCTATTTTTATTTATACTTTTTTCATAACGGTGTAAGTTGTACAATTCCACTTTGCTGGAAATATTTACTAAAGACTGAAGGCAAGAATATTAAAAGTGAATCTCAGGAGGTACTGAAGTACTTTGTGTAAAGGGTGGGGTAGTGTTGACAATTTTTTAAAAGCTAGCAATAATAAGGGAAGTGCGTTCGAATGTTTACCTTTGGATTAAATTATTGAAGTTGCAGACTATGTTACCAAAGTGGAGCACTTCGTACGATTCAGTTAACTATTAGTCTATTAGTCTCCAATGCAGTCATTTTCTTGTGTCATCACCCAAGTCTCCTCTTCAAAGAACGGTTGCGAAGGAGACTGGTGAACTATGGAGACGAGTTTAATCAGAGAGACGACCCAAAAGAACATCTGCATGGGAAGTTACAGGGAACTAGAATTATAAGGAATTATAAGGTGAAACCTACAGTATTAAAATGTTAAATAACTTGTACCAGTTTCAATGTTATCTTCATGATTCAATGTTAGCTTAGTAAGTCATTTACAAAACATAGGGGAAACTAAACCTCGCATCATCTTGGGTGAATTAAAGAGTAGGTCTTGTGAAATTTGTAGGGGTTATTGTCTGGTTCTTCATTTTCTTAGTCACGTGATTTTCACACTCATTTTTGCTATTTATTTTGATCCAAATTTAACTCGTTGTTAGTTATGACTCAATATATAGATTTAACCAGGGCCAAAAGCGAAGCTCTCGTTAACTAGATACTTAATTATAAACAAAAAATAAAATAAAATCGTGCAATGCTGAACGGCGACGGCAACGAGGACGGCAGCAAAATCAATTACACGTGCAGCCCCTTTTTTTGTACATTTCTTTGCCGTTGTTTTGGACGACTGCAATGCCGTTTTGCACGACTAGAGGAGGAATTGCCGTATGTACTCACCAAACTTTTGTTGCTTGTGTTCCTGGTCGCTTGTATTTTTTTCACTACCGCTCATTTTCACCCTGCTGGCCTCTCCTTGCTGACCGCGAGCATTTCCCACATTCTTACCGCCGCTATGAAATTTTCATGTTTTTTTTTCCAACAAAATTCGTCTCCTTTTTTTTAATCACACGCTGTAGCTCTTTGTCTGTTATCCACGTGAGTGTAAACATAGAAAAATACGTTGAAAAAGACTCGACTTTGTTGTTGTTTTTTCTCTCTAAGAGTCCCGGCAACCATGCCATTTCCCGCCAAAAACACCTCGAGTTACCTGTGGTGTTATACCTGTTAATTGAGTTATTCTACATTGATTTTCCTGTGGTCTGGACGGACGGTCTTTCGGGCGTACGGTCATGTGATTACTAAAATTTCTCGGATGGGTGGATTTTCTTAGATAAGGGCGCGCGCGTGGAGCTCCGTTTTTAAGTCAGGTCCCTTCCACGTATCCGATTCTGATTGAAAACAGATATTTTTGTGTTCGTTTTGGCCCACCCAGATGGTTTTGATGACACCAGGACTCCTTGTGTTATGCAATAACAGTGAGGTAGCACTGCAATCGTGTATCCCTCCATTGTTGTTTAATACTTCATTAGTGTCAAGCTCTGTGATGGTTGCTCCTCCAGACGATGGCCCGGGCCGCTGGAAGTACTTTAGCAGTTCAAAGTACCCCCAGTAATAATCTACAAGGTGTTGATACATACATTCCCCCAAGCTGTAGCCTGAAATCGAGTTCCTGTTTTGCTCGGTCAAGTTCTTTTTGTGTCTGCTGATGCTCCTGGGCTCTCTGATCAAGCTCCTTTAACAATGAAGTGCAGTGAGCCTTCAACTTGAGATTTTTTCCTTTCACATCTTTAATTCCTTAAAGGTCAAGTAATACGGGCAACATTTTCGCACAACTTGTCGCGCAACATTGTTGCGTTGCAAGTTGTGCGAAATGTTGCCGGTATTACTCGACCTTAACGGTGTTCTTATGCCTCCACTTCATGTCTCCATGCGATTCCTTTCGCCGCTGCAACTCTTTTTTCAATTTATTATCTTTTAACTTTCTCGATGTTTCGAGATCCTTGAGGGTCTTTTGAGATTTTTCCAACTCCTCTCTCTGGATCTGATTATCCTCTTCCAGCCACTGTCGCTCTGATCGCAGGTTATTAATCACTGCAGCTTGTTGGGCTATGGCAGCATTTTGTTGTTTTACAATTGCTCCTAGCTGCTCGTAGCTACACACATACATCTGTGCCATCCATAGTCGACAAAATCTTTTAAATGAACCAAAAGAATCCCTTTTAGGCAAAAATCACTGACTCTTTAAAATCTCTTCGTTAAGTTTCAGTTTCGTTTTACTTTTTCCAAAAGTGAGTTTTTTAGTGATGTCATAGACAATTAACCAGTTTCTTTTGCGC